TTTCATATTATTTTCAAAGTAAAAGGGGCATAACTCTGCCAAAAATCATCGAACCATGACCAAATTCGAACTTGACCTGTATTTTCTCATAACATATCCATATGTCAAGTTTGAGTTGAATGTGTCCAACCGTTCTTGAGATAATGAACGGAAACTGAAATTTCATATTATTTTCAAAGTAAAAGGGGCATAACTCTGCCAAAAATCATCGAACCATGACCAAATTCGAACTTGACCTGTATTTTCTCATGACATATCCATATGTCAAATTTGAGTTGAATGTGCCCAACCGTTCTTAAGATAATGAACGGAAACTGATGATGACGGAATGACAGAATGACGGAAGGACGGAAGGATGGAAGGACGGAAGGACGGAAGGACGGAAGGACGGAATGACGGAACAGGGTAACACTATATGCCCCGGCCATTACATGGCGGGGGCATAAAAAGCGTTTTCAAGAAATAATGTATGATAGGGAGAATATACCGAGAGAAAGAAAATTCTGATTTCTACGCAAACAAATACATCAAAACATTATGTACTGTACATAAGGAAAATATGCAAATATATTTCTTGAAAGTATTCTTTTCTAAACTTTAAACAATACTTTTGTAAACTACAACAGACAGCAGATTTCAAAGTTTTAAACTCTTTAAATTTCGTATAAAAGAATAGAAGTCATGGATCTCCCCACCGACCCCCTCCCCCTCCCCAACCTCATTTTTTATCAATATGGGCCTTTGTTTGTTTGTATGTTTGTTTGTTTCATTTTACGCCTTTTCCCAACAGTATGAGGTCACTGCAGAATCAAAAACACCACGGTATACATATCTTAAATAGACGCATGCATATATAATGGTCTCTGGAACTGCCAAATTAACTTCATCCTTGAATTTAACTTTTAAAAAAACTCTATTAAAGCAAACCTTGAAGACATGTGAACTTTCTTTTCTTGGTGTAAAAGAATAGCTTTTATAACATTATATTGCTACCCCTTTACTTGAAAAATTTTGATAATAGACTCTTTCTGCTTTAAATGTGGAACAAAACATTTATATTTTAAGGGATTAAAATATGAAAATACAAAACTTAACATCCAAAGGCTAAATCACTTCCGTTTCCAGGAAGGCAAAAACCAAAAAAAAATACAAAATATACTGGGGGAAGTAAATAAACATACAATTACGTTGTATACAAGCAAACATAATTATTGTTCTTAATTCTACTTCACGTGTATTTCGTTTGGCAGTGTCGCATATCTAAAGCGATAATGTTAAGATTTTTTTTCATGAATGGTATTTTATTGTTCAAGTTGTCGATAATTCGAAATTACAATGCTAATCAGATTTCTTTATTGACGGTTTTACCACTTGTAAAAACATATCTGATAGTCTAAACAATGGTTATAGGCAACTATTAACACTAGTATATTGTTTGTACAGGACCCTTCCACTATCATATTATGGCTCTTGTAGAAGTATTTGTATATACCAGAGAGTTAAATCTTGATCCTTTCTTTTATGTATAGTACTGATTTTTTAAGAGGTTGTGGTGACTTATGTACGGTGGTATAAATTGAAAATTCGTTACAATTAGCACGGCCATAAAAAGTCATTTTCGCTTTATTAAAAAGACAATCATTCTATATACAAATAAAAATTATTTGCATTAAAGATGACAAGTCTCTATATTAAAGGTAACGCTATTTAAAGTAACGGTAATACCATAATTTTCTTTATTAAAGGTGATCACTTAATACTCATAAAAGATGACCTTCCTCTATAATACAGCCGATGATTTTCTATATCAAAGACGACTATTCCCTTTGTAAATGGTGACCATTTGCTTTATTATAGGTAACCTTCCTTTATTTCTTTAAATTAATGGTGACCGTTCTCTATATTAAAGGTAACCATCATTTTTTACTCTTTTTTATCAAGGTTGATCATTCTCTATAATTAAAGGTTACCTCCCTTTATTTCTGTTTATTAAAACTTAAGGTAACCGTACACTATATAAAGATGACCGCTCACTATATCATAGGTGACCGTATTTTATATTAAAGGTGACCGATTACTATATTATAGGTATTAAAGGTAACCTTCCTTTATTTCTCTATATTCATGATGACTGTTCACTATGTTAATGGTGACTTCATGACTTCATGACAAACCATCTTTTTTATCTTTATCAAAGGTGACCGTACACTATATCGAAGGTAACATTTCTTTATTTATCCTGTACACGATGTTCCTTTATTTCTCTTTATTATTGTTGACCGTAGGCTATATTAAATGTAACCTGCCTTATGTCTCTTTATCAAAGGTGACCGTACACTATATCGAAGGTAACATTTCTTTATTTATCTTTATTAAACATGACTGTAAACGATGTTCCTTTATTTCTCTTTATTATTGGTGACCGTAGGCTATATTAAAGGTAACCTGCCTTATGTCTCTTTATTAAAGGTGACCGTACACAATATCAAATATACTAAAAGAGAGCGTTCTTTATATCAAATGTGTTAATTCTGTTAATTATTATTCATATAAACAGTCGCAAAGGTGACCATTTTCTGCAGTTATGTTTATTTTTACACAAAGTGTTGGAAATCCGCATTAGGTGTGCTCAACCCACATCAGATTTATCGCGTTCCCAGTTGTGTTCTAAAAATTGCATCAAATATACTTTGATAATTATTGACAAAGCAGGTTTTGTGGCATTTCGCTATAAATCTTCAATTTATTCCCTTTAAGATAATACATCGTCCTAACATGCGGTTTCTTTTCACATCCTAGACGCGGACTTTTGCACGTTACATAATCGTATGACTATAACTAGCCTCTGATAAAATAGACAGTGTAAAAAGCTATGAAAGTATCCATTGTTACGCAAATCATAAAAGGGAGGTAATAGAAAAAGGGAGGTAATAGAAATGTTCAAGCAATCTTTTCATACAACCCTGCCATTGATATGTATATTAAGTTATAAAACATTTTTTTACGATTAATATGGCATGTACGTGTTCACTGACTGGAAATCACGGAAATTTATATTTTTGAATATTACAGCTAGCAACGTCAATATGTAAGCCAAGACTATTTTTCTTCTCAGAAATTATCTTCTTTTTTTTTTTAAAAAAAATTAAAACCTTAAAGCCTGCAAACTTTGTGTAAAATTTATTGAATGCAATTATACTCAATACAGGATATACTTTTTTTTCTACCTGAGTTCTTTGTAAGGTATATGGGCTTTTTTCGATAACACAACTTATCTTGTATTTCTCCGAAAACATTCAATACATCGAAATCTACCATCGTTTTGTTCTAAGTAATTCTTGGACTTTGCTTAGAAGGGGGGGGGGTTGAATTTTTTTTTTTGTAGTTTTGACATCGAAAATTGCTAATTGTTTTGAAAATTATCAATAAATAGATAGACGTATTCTAGACGAACATACATTATCAAATCTATGAATAATAATTTGCTATGTAAATCAATGTGGATAAAGCCAACACTCCAACGACCCATCCTCAACACCCCCCCCCCCACACACACACACACACCTCTTTGATGACCCCCAACATGTGTAGATTGAAATAATAATCATGTCTAAAACACCTAAAACTAAGAGATTTTAGTGGGATGACTATAATATTACTTCCACTTCTCGAAATCCACTAAATAATGGATAAGTATCATATGGAAATAATTATTTCAACTTTGTCATTTAGCCTTATACAATATAGGTTGACCCTTGCCATGTTGATGTATAATTGTCACTTTTAACTACGATGAATAACCAGGCAGTCATATTGTTCTTTTGTTGTTGTTGTTGTTGTTTTAAAAATACGATCGTTTCCTATATATTATGACATTTCAGTGTAAAGAGTGGTATATTTACGACCAAAAGCAAATGGCAAATTGAACAGTACTGTAGCTGGATTAGTTTTCAAAATAATCACATACTTACTATCATGATATTTAAATGGAAAAAAAACATGATGGTTCCATTAGATTTATTTGGTTCTAATTAGATCTGTTTCCAATGCAGATTAAGTGTCAATGTAACATAATTAATTTTGGTTGCCGCATAAATGTCTCTTCGGCAAGTCTTCATATGAGCCGCGTCATGACAAAACCAACATAGTGCGTTTGCGACCAGCATGGATCCAGACCAGCCTGCGCATCTGCGCAGTCTGATCAGGATCCATGCTGTTCGCTTACAAACTCTATAACAAGTAGAGAAACTGATAGCGAACAGCATGGATCCTGATCAGACTGCGCGGATCGCAGGCTGGTCTGGGTCCATGCTGGTCGCAAAACCATTATGTTAGTTTTGTCGTGACGCGGCTCAATTATGTTAGACTACCGAAAACCAACATAAAGGTGAATGTCATTTTACATAAATAAGTAAAATGAACAAACTATAAAATTCATAGTTATGATACTGGGTGGGGTATTTCTTATGTCAACTTAAGATTAAGTCGAACATCAATAATAATATCTATAAAATTTGTTACGGTTCGGATCGGAATATCCGTTCCGAGGGTCGGTCACCTCGGATTACATGGTCTTAAAAAAAATCTGAACTTTACATTGTATATATAAATGACATGAAATAAAATAATAAATCTCCTTATGTATATATGATCACGAGATTGGGTAATAATATAAAAATAGCATTAATTTCTGTTTTGTGAGGACGGGATTGTGGTCCAGTGGTTAAGACAGCTCAGAATTTGTAGGTACGAACCTTACCTGAACAAATTTTACACGACCCGACTCTTTTTTTTTTAATAACTTGATAAGCTAAAATAAACATGTTTCAACTAAATTATACATGCATTTCATTTCTCTGTCGCCAAAATTGTGCCGAAGGGCATTAAGGTCGTACTAGTTATATGTGCGTAACAAGTGACTTTAACTAACTGATCATTTAAGCAAACGAAAATATTAAAAGTAAGAAAAAAACAATATTGACTATACTATATACATGTACCTCCATGGGCTGGTGAAATTGGAATGAGGTTTAAGATATAGTGGTATCCGTTCGCAAACGTGCGTGGGTACGACTCCTGGGAAGTGCTGGTTTCGGCACAACCTTGTGGGTGGCCATTTTTGTTTAGCAGTTTTTCTTTTCTCCATTTATTCAAGTGGGCTTTCTTCATTCCTTACTCGTTTTTTTTTCTTCCGTGGAATCGATTTCTCCTTCTTTTTACTGAACTAAGTGTTTAACAGAACTTGTTCTTATGTCCCCTTACTTCGGAATTCTTCCTGAATAGTGATCCCTATAAAGGCATGATTAACATAGTCCTAATTACTGAAAGCATCCTTCATAGATTCGTTGACGCAGTCTTATGTTCTTTAATGAATTATTCACTGTCACAAATGTTATAAAAAAACTCTCCTGTCACTATTAGGTTTTCTATTTTTAGCTATCCAACGCTTTTATGAAGAAAACACTACCTTTAACTTTCCTTTTTTTTCTCTAATCACATACATCCATTTTGTATAATTGTAACTTACTTCCTCGTGCTAATTTACAGTAATAAACTGCTGACTTCACTTCAATTCTACTTAATTTAAACCGGTGATAAAAAATATGTACATTACACTCGTTTCCGGTGTAGTACTTAAAATAACTTAGTCGTCGCGTAGATGAAAAACTTCAGTGTTTGAAATATCTCACGAAATCCAATCCCGTTCTTGTATTATTTTATACTGTAAATCTTCATTTATTAACCGATATTTGATCAATTAACGTACATATATAACTAACTGCTTATCGGTTGAACCTTCTCTATAAAGTACATCCTCTCAACGAGAAGCAATATTCACATTTTGTTCGTCTAATAACCTTCCTTGTTTCGTCGATTTAACTACGCTTTTAATGGCGTCCCGGTGACATATAAGGCGATATTCATGATATAGTCACCGGGAGGTGTATATACTTTTATCTGTCCGGACATGTACACACATTCAATGTTTATTCAGAGATCGGGTTAAATTCGTACAATCAGGTTAAAGCAATGTCGCCTTAAATATTGTGTTGGGTTATAATATTGATTCAAAGCGTTAATGAAACGACCGGCTCTTAAGCTACTAAAATGTGACGTAACAAACAAGAATGTCGTTAAATTCAGTACATTTATAAATCAAGTATAATCGTTTAAGGCAGAAGTAAAATATCGGGTTTTCAACGCATTAATTGAATTTAGTTCCGCCAAGTGATTTTACATTTCATAAACTGTAATGTACGTAAACTTGTATTGAAAATATACGGTGAAAATGTTGGCAACATGAATGTATCGTCTATTTGTGGGACAAACAAAGTCCGTATTTTTAACTACGGGAGCGGTTTATAGTTACCCATGTATTATAAACACGCACAAAGATCAGGAATCCCAAAAGATAACGATTTTTGTCATTCACTATTTAAAGAAAACAACTTTAAATCGAGAACATTCGATGTTTGTTATGTATACGTCATTCGCGTACGGTTACGCAATACATTTATTTAGTATCTGATTTGATAACGAACACAACAAAAGATTAATCTAAAATCAAGGACATATCATACCCCTCATGAATGCAATACCGACAATTATCTTTAAGAATATATAGATATACATATCTAATAAAATACAATATAACATTTATATATTATATAGAGATAGACATAGTTTTGTTTCAATCATGTAAGGCTTATTAACCCATGATGAGAAAATAGTAGCATAATATTATATTTATGCTGCGACCAAGCTTATCATACAAAAAAAAAGCGTGAACTTAGGTTAACATTGCGAAATATCTATTCTTGTTTTAAACAAGATTGATTTTTTTTAAATATCCTTAAACAAATAGAAGATTTGCAATACCACAAGGCGTGGGCTTATATCTATTACTCTATCGAGTCGGCTCACGACAGAGAAAACGTTTATGGTTTGAAACCTTAGACTAAGTGATCTGACACAAGACCTCCACTTCAATAAATTTAACTATCAGTAGTAATATTGGAGGGTATCTCTTGCTTCTTTTACTTATACGACAATAAGTACAGTTAAAGTGATTTAGTATTTTGCATGGATGTTAGGAATACCACTTTGTTGATGGTTAGGAAACTACCCGCCTATATGACTGAAATACTTTTGGGAAAAGGCGTAAAATGAAACAAACAAACAAACAATTGTAAACATTTTACCTAAATCATTAACTATAATAATTTAATATGTATCGCTATTTACTTCAGGTGACTATCGTAACTTCTGGAAAGTTCTAAATTCACAATAACAAGATCATAAAGCACATGTTTGCCCTTCCTTTCTACAGAAAAAAACCCAAACTATTTCTGAAGATTATCGTGCCTTTAAGTTTTTGTTGTTGGCTTGTTTGTGCGTGTCAAATAATGAAATTTAGACACAGATGTAAGACTAACTAAAAAACAAACTAGTTACGTATTCGTGACAGTTTCTATTCAGGTTATAATTAGTTCTGCCCTATATACGACAGGTCAATTCATTCTCGTGTTACCCTGAACAAAATGACATAGTCACATACTTAACTTAACGTTTGTAAATTTTCTAAAGGCCCGTTTTATAGCGCTCGTGGCACAAATTGGTTAACAACCTTAAAGCGACGAGTATACAAAATTCCAAATATTTTTCCACCCATACCCATATTATATCAGAGTAGCTGCCGTTTTGCATATTCAATACTTGTAAAGTTTTTTGTCTGTTCTTGTGTATCATTTAAGGGGTGGGTGTGTGAGTGGTGATATTAATCTTCAGTTGCTAAACATATTCTAACTCACATAATTATTATGTTCACTGGACAACGTTTTCCAAATTAAAACACAAACTTAATTTTCATCAAAAATATTATACACACTTATAAAATCATTAGTTACACACATTATACCTTTACGGTCCATTGATGCGACAAAATATGCTCCCGTACGAGATACACGATTATAGTTCAAATAACACCATCAATATTTGTTAGGTACATATGTACCTGTAGTTTTCTTAAAGGTTTTCTTTCTTTTCTTTTCAATTGATGGCTTCCTGATATGCGAGTATCCAAAGGTTCTGGCGGGATTTAACCCTGCATTGCAAGCAATGAGAGGGGGTGGGGGGGGGCAGTTATTTGAAGTCAGTTACCTTACCCACTGGATGCCTCCACTCTCTTTATTGTTTAGTTGTTATTGTTGTTGTTGTTAGTGTGGTTTTATATGATTATAAAATGCAAGTTTTTAAAGAAAAATCGCGCTCTACTTTGAATATTTGTAAATCGTATTTTAAATTAATTAGCAAGGATCATTTTAGTGAAGTATTGTACACTTTACAAAACCTTCAACAACAACAACAACCAAATCTCAAAACAATTTTTACCGCAGCTTGTTTATCGTTTCAATAACACCATCAGAATTGTACGAATCGAGACTATATCGTATTTTAAACATTCAAAATATCTGATCCTGACCAGAGTATAAAACAACCATATTTAGTTTAGCAAATGGGTACGATTAGAATAGAGGACGAATGTTCCTCTAAGTAGAATGCACGCAGACGACATTTTAGTTGCGTATAATCTAGTGAATTAACGTTTTGTTTATATTCAGTCTGAACCAAATGTGCATATTCATGAATAAAATGTGCACGTGATTGCCGTACATGTTAAATCTATGATCTTTAATTGTTCCAAATAATTTACAGTCAGAAATTCACATAATAAGTAAATTCGGCCTCTCTAATTTTCGTACACAGAAAGTATTAATTGGAAAAAGTGTAATTCGTTCCCTTTCCTGCTCGTACCAATGTTAAAAGGTCGTAAAAAAACAAAATGATTCAACCACGTTGGACCAAAATTTGGCAGAATGAATAATAATTCAACCATGACTATAATTTAAGAATTAAATTAACAAAAGGTTTTATATTGTAGTGTATTGTTAGTGCTATTATTTAGCAGTCAAATTTAAATCTTAATCCGCTCAGTGTTGTATTGATCTTTACGATCTAACTGATCAATCTTTTTAAACAATTGCGTTTTATGATATTTATTTTATCAATATATAGCTAATAAAAGAACAATAGCAAGATTTGCCAATTTTATGACGGTTGAGCATACACATATTAACGTTAGTAAACATAACTTATCAATATGCAATTTCCTTCAATGACTTATATATTTTCATTGTTTGGTTAAGTAGGCGCCAAATTCTAAAATCAGTACAATGAGGAAATAAACATAAAGAACAATTCCGAAGAAAATCATGTTAACGCTTAATGTAAGGCATTTGAAAACGAGTGTTTTTGGTTTTAAGTAGACATGTTACCTACACCTGTCCCCATCTGTATACAACTGTACCCAAATCCAAATTTCAACAGGAAACAAAATGGGTCATGCTATAGCATGCTTGAAACCTGACATTTATATATATATTTGTTATGTTGTCGTTGTTATTATTCGGTAGCTAATGTAACACGAGTTTTCTATAACAATTTTTGCTATTCCATTAAAGGTAGTATCATATAATAAATTGCTAAAACAAATGTTTTTCATAAAATAAAGCACAGATGAAAAGCAATTAGAGGAACTTCTTAATAAAGGTTTTCGGTTACAAGGAAAGACTCTTTACAATTTTTTAATTTCTATCAACAAAGTTTAATATCAGCTGAGCACGACTCTTATGTTAAACGAAAAAAAAAACAATATCACACATTTTATGCTTTCAAAAAAAAATCCAGACCCATCGCTACAACAAACGGACTTACACATGTATATAGAGTTTTAATGAGAATCATGTTATCATCGACGTTGAACAGGAATAATTTAATTTCTAAGTAATCAATATATGAGCCGCGTCACGACAAAACCAACATAATGGGTTTGCGACCAGCATGGATCCAGACCAGCCTGCGCATCCGCGCAGTCTGATCAGGATCCATGCTGTTCGCTATCAGTTTCTCTACTTGTTATAGGGTCTGTTAACGAACAGCATGGAACCTGGTCAGACTGCGCAGATGCGCAGGCTGGTCTGGATCCATGCTGGTCGCAAACGCACTATGTTGATTTTGTCGTGGCGCGGCTCAATTATATGATTTTCTTTCATTTTTAAGATCATTAAATGCGGATGTAGTGAATATCTTTCAGGATTCGTATCGAAAAGTAGTACTGGGTACACAAAAGTGAATCACTAATTTATGGCGTGATCTTGCTATTCAACAAGTTAATAAAAGGATTGAAAAGAAAACACTTTAAAGTGCATCGCCATTTTTCCCCCTCCCTAAAATTGAATGACGCAAACTGATACGGTTTAAACATTTTATCCGTATGCGATCTCAAAAATACAAACACACATGCACATATCTAAAAAGCGTGTAAAAGGTATAGTTTACTCGTTTATGCCATACATAAGGATTTGGCAACGTAAACTGATTGCAAATTTAAAAATCAAATAAAATTGATGATTATCTTTGTTATTTCTTTACCTCAAAATATCTTGTTTCTTTTGTGTTGATAAAGTATTAAATATTAAAGATGACCAGCCATGACACTGTAGATAATGCATTCTGTGCGGTAAATAAATAAAGTTGATGAGTCGTTTCAAAACCATACTAGTCATTATTTTCTTATTCGATTTAATGTCCTTCCCTTGTGTATCTATTACACATTTTATCAAGATAAATTTTTAAAGCAGCATGCCTCCAGATTCATGCGAATTTTTAATGAAAATTTTGACTTGAATCTTTTTACATTTCTTAAAATCTTACTACATTTTTGTCTCAAGTATTATTTTCTTGAAATACTTCAGATCAACTGAAACCATGCAGCTTTAAGCCATATATGGCGGACTTTTGCATAATTGACCTGTTCCAGGTGAAATAAAAAA